GGCGCGCCCCCTGGCGCCCCCGGCGCGCCGCACCCCCTCGCCGGCGCGGGCGGCAGCGGCTGTGTGCTGGACCGGTGGGCGGAGATGCGGCAGTGCAGCACCGTGTTTGAGCTCGCCGGCCAGGACAGGAAGGGTCTGCTGGCGGATGTGCTGGACCTGCTGACCCACAACGGCTGCGACGTCCTGAGCGCGGCCGTGTGGACGTCCAAGCGCCGCGTCGCTTTTGTGGTCTCCGTTGTGGAGGGCGCCGCGCCCGTCCGCGACGGCGGCAAGATCGCGCGGCTGAAGCAGCTGCTGCTGCAGATGATGGACGCGGGCGGCAACGGGCTGGTGGAGGCGTCGGTGGTGAAGGGGCTCATCCACTACGAGCGGCGGCTGCACCAGCTGATGCTCAAGGAGGAGGAGCGGGACTGGGCGCGCGTGAAGGAGCGCGTGCTGGCAGCGGCGGGCATCCTCGTGCCTGCGGCAGCTTGCGGCACGGACGGCGGCGGCGATGCGTGGCGGTCGGGCGGCGGCGGCGGCGGGAGCTTGGACGGGGGGCAGCAGCAGCAGAAGAGGTGCCAGGTGACGCAGGGGCCGGAGGTTATGTGCGTCACCAGCGAGCCGCCAGAGGCGCCGGCGCCGGCGGGGTGCGCGGACGCGGACGGCATACCCTTGGTGTCGCCCAAGTACAGCCGTCCGCAGGTGGGTTGCCCGGCGCCAGCCTCCGCTTCACAAGCAAGCATGTGTGAGATTGGGAAGCGACGTCCGGCGCCACGACCAGGGCATCGCTTGGCTGGCTGTGTTTGGCGCCATGCTGCCGCTGCATGCTGCCGCACCCGACGCGCTGCAGAGGTGGGGCTGGGCGTGATCACGCCCCAATTCCCCATCCGCAAACCGCGGCGGCCGCTTGCCCCCGCCAACCTGCCCCACCCAGGTCACCATCCAGCACTACGCCCACATGCACTACTGGCTTGTCACCGTGCGCTGCAAAGGTGCGCGACCCGCACCACCTCTTTGTCGAAGAGGTGGTCCCCCAGCCTCATCCGCGCGGCTCGCAGCCACAAGACCCTTGCGTCGCTCCCCCCTCCCCCAACCCCAAGCGTTGTGCCCCCTCCTTGTGACTCCTCTGCACCACATGCGCTGTGAAACCCCCATAGTGACCACTGTTTTGCTGCACGCCCCGAGCGCCCTCCTCCCATCCACACACACACACACACACACACACACACACACACACACGCCACACCCACCTACACCTGCACCCGCACGCCCGCACACACACACAACTCTTTCCTAGACCGCAACAAGCTCCTTTTTGACAGCGTGTGCACCCTTTCGGACCTGAACTACGACGTCTACCACGCGGCAGTGGACTGCGAGGGGGAGGCGTGCGTGCAGCTCTACTACATCCGGCCGCGCTTTGGGGACTTCTTCTGGGACGCAGTCAAGGTGCGGCGGACGGCGGCGCACGCGCGCGGCGCACGCGCGGTCCAACGGGCTGCTTTGCGTGCGTGAGTTTGGCCGGGCGTGTTTGTTGCCTCTGTAAGTCTGCAGCGACCGTCGCTGATGTGAGGGGGTGAATTGGGACGGCCGGGGTCCAGCAAACGTCCGCAGGGAGGGAGGTGTGCAGAAAAGCGGGGTGGCGCAAGGTTTGCCACTTTTAAGACTGACCAGGCGGAGTACGTGCATCGGGCAACCTGCCGCGCCCCGTCGCCCGCAGGCCACCAAGCTGCGGGTGATGCTGGAGAGCGCCATCCAGCGGCGCTTCCCCAAAGGCCTCAAGGTGTGTGTGTGTGTGTGTGTGTGTGTGCGCGCGTGTGTGTGTGTGTGTGTGTGTGTGTGCAAGTGAGGAATCGTGTGCGTGTGGTCGCATGGCCTCTACCCTGACCTGATTGCACGTTCGCCCACACCCCCCGCGGCTGACCCCCGCGGCTGCCCCGCCAGGTGCACGTGGCCCAGACCCACCAGCACTGCCTCGCGGACCTCACGCGCGCCTGGAAGGAGGCCGGCCTCTGGATCACGCGCGCCAAGGTGCGCGGGCGCCCGCCAGCCGGCCCGCGGGTGCGGCCGGCCCCACGCGCCGGCAGCACGCGGGCAACCGCCGCCAGGCCGCCCCTGGCCCCCCGTACCTGAGAGGACCTGTCAAGTGTGCCGCCCTTGATCACCCGTGCGCGCCTCTTCCCACTCATTCCCCACCCCCGACGCGCCGCCCGTCCTGCGTCGCCCGCGGCGCCCGCAGGTGCGGGCGTTTGGCGAGAACGGCCACACCCTGTACGTGATGGACGCCAACGGCCAGCCGCCAGACCCCCGGAAAGTGCAGCAGGCGTGCCAGAACAGCGGCGGGCAGCTGCAGGCCGACCTCACGGGCGGCCTCTCCCCGCCGGGATACATGCTGCCGCCGGGCCTCAAGCCCTCCGCAGCGGCGGCGCAGCAGGTCGCGGGCAGCGTGTCGATACCGCAGGGCGGCGGCGGCGGGCCGGGGGGCGACGGGGCGACGGCCAAGTTCTTTTACACATTCTTGCAGGTGCGGCGCGTATGCGTGTGTGGGGGTGGGGGGGGCAAATTTGCAGTTGATGGGGCGTGGCGACAGAGTGGTTGTGGGTTTAGAGGTTATGGAAGTTGCCATGTGGGGATGCGATGAGGCCTGCACATAGCGGTGCAGTCCGAGCGGGTTCAAGGCAAGCCGAGGCAGGGCCATCGCGGCGTGCCGGTCAACGGTTTTGACCCAGCCCGCCCCCGTCGCGCCCCCCGGCCCGCCCGCAGCGAACGTGGGATGGCAGCCCCAGCAGCATGACCTCAAATTAACCCTGCCTCGCGCGCCAGCCGCGGCGCCTGCCGGCCACCGCGGCGTGCGCGATGATCACGCTGCTTCGGGGGAGGGCGCCGCGCCGCCGCTCTCGTCCAGCCGCTGGCTGCCTGGCGGAACGGCCGGCCGCGGGCGCGCGAAAACGCCGTCGCAGCCCCTTCTTGTACGAGGCTCGCGACGCCCGCGTCGGCCGTGCCTGCGGGCGGCACGGACCCTGCAGGCGGCGGCCGCGGCGGCAAGGAGTCGGCCGGGCGTCGGCCGGGGCGACGCCAGGATGCTTCGGCAACGGTCTGCGCAGATCACGCCGCGCACGTGCGCGGCCATTCGTTAGCAGCGCCCCCTCCCCCCCAATCCACCCCAAACGCACCCATCCTTCTGTACCGCGACGCTGTTACGCCCTGGCAGCCCCTCGCGCGGCCGCAGCCGGCGCGCGTTGGGGCTGCCGGGCAGTTGCACTTGCGTTCTTCCGCCGTTGCTGCTGGCCCGGCTTTGGTTGGGGGCCTCGACAGGCGCGACGGCGGCCCGGCCACACGTCAGGCCCGTCTCGTTGTTTGCAATGTGGTTGCCGTTGCTTGGCGGCGGCCTCACTGACTGGCCGGCCTATGATGGCCCGGGTGCATCGCCAACCCAGCATGTATGCCTGAGTTGCAGCCGCCGCCCCGTGCAAGTGTTGAGCGCCCCGCGCGCTTCGCGCCGCTGCCATGCGGCCGCGCACGCGGGGCGCCCCTGCCCGCCCCCACCAAACTCCGGGCCAAAGCCCTGGCGCACCCTCCCCCCATCGCCGCCGTGGGGGAGCCATTCTAATCACCCTTTGCATTTGATGCAGACTTGCAGGTATTTCTGGGGGCCGTTGGGGCCACACTTCTTGTCCACATCCGGTTCCTTCAAGCACTGTTTCGTTCCTGCCCCAGTCGCATTTTTGCCGCAGCCGCACCACCCTCTTCTTTCGAGCCGCTGCTGGGCCTGTGGCGCCAGCCAAGCTCGGCGGGCCCACCGCCACGGCGGCAACGCACTGACGCCCCAGCCCTGATCACGCGCAGGCAGACCTGAGATTGCGGCAGCGTGCACAGCGCGGCGCGCGGCGCCGCCGCCTCCAGCCCCCTGAGGGCTGACCTGGGGGACCAGAGCCGCGGCGCGCCCATGTAACTTTAGAAGCAGCAGGTTGCGTCCGCAGGGGTGATGTGGCGCGGTATCACCGGCAAGGTGCACATCAGGAACTAGCCCGTGTTGTGCTGTGTGTTGAGGTAGAGCTGCACGTGCACACGGGCGCGGGTGCGGCGTGCTGCAAGCCAGCGTTGTGGGAACGTTGCGAGGCGCGGCTCGATCTCGTGTTGCTTGTGACTGCGGCGCCGCGTGGTGGCATCAGTGCAACATTGTCATGCAGTTGATGTGCATGGGGTTGGATGGGGCAGAGAGGCGGCTGCCAGGGTCGCCTGGCTCGCATGCCTTGCGCCCATGCCACCACTGGCGTCTCCGTGGGCCCACCTGCCCATGTGGTTTGCCCACCTGCACAACTCCCTACAAGTTGTGCTGCCTGACACTGGCATGCCTTGTAATTGCTGTTGCAACCAGGTTATGAACCCTAGCGTCTGTCAAACACGCTTGTTTCTTCGGCGATCTGGTTCCGGCCCGAGATCTGCCTGTGAGAGGCAGGCATCGAAAAATACGTCGTTGAATACCCTAATTCATCTGATTTCACTCTCCAGGGCCAGCGGCTGCCGTGCGAGATTGTGAGACGCGAATAGCGCGCAGCGGAAGCGGCACGCCACTTGCGGTGCCCACATCAGCAGAAGCATGGCAGACATCGAGCAAAAGGTGCGCTGGCGAGCAAGAGCTCATGTGCGTCTGAGCTTAGGCAGGACGAATCAGGACGGGCTGTGGGACGAGTGTCAGCCTGCGCAGCCTGCAGCGTGCCTGGCCGCCCTGCCTCGACGCCTCCTTGCGGCCAGCCGACAGCCCCGCACCTAGGATGCCCGGCACCCAACAGGCACGTGTGGCATGCACTACACTGCTACAGCCTGTATACATGAGAGCACGTGCAGACACACACACTCACACACTGGAATGTATAAGCACGTACACGCGTATACTCATGCTTGCCAAAAGCATGCTCACGCCTGACACGCCCAAAACACACACACACACACACACACACACACACACACACACATACACACACACACACACACACATGCACGCACGCACGCACGCACGCACGCACGCACGCACACCCCGGCCCCCCTCCAGCCGCTGCTGGACCTGGAGCACGGCGCCGAGGAGGAGTGGGACCGTGTGGACGCGCTGCCGCGCGACATCCCCACCATCACGGTGCAGCAGCTGATCAGGCAGGACCCAGATCACGTGCTGCACAACATCAAGGCCGGCGTGGTCAAGGTGGGGTTGTTGCATTGCAGTGCAACAGGGTGGGGTGGGGTGCGGTGGTGGGAGTTGGGGTGGGGGGTCCTTGCAGGGGGGGACTGTGCACTTGGCGTGGGGGCAGGTGCGTGGGAGAGCGCTCGATAGTGAACCGTGCAGGCTCTGGGGCAGGCCAGGTCGTGGGTTGGTTGCCGAGGCGGATGGCAGACGGCCGTGCAGGGACGGCGCGGCGCGGGCGGCGCGGCGGACCCGCCGCGGGCGCTGCGGGGATCGCCGCGGGTGCAGCGGGGCGCGCGGCGAGGGGCGGTGCCGGCCCTGCGCGCGTGGGGCGCTGGGCAGGCGCGCAGGTCGCGCGGACCTCCGGCATGCCCCAGCGCGCGCCGCCACGTCGCACGCGCTCGCGGCCGCGCTCCCGCTCCAAGCCCGCCGCGAGCGCGCACCGCGTCGCGCCCCCGCACGCCCCCTCTTCTCCGCAGCTCGGGGAGTTCAAGGTGCCGGACACTGTCCTGCTGCGGGCCCTGGACGACAGGCCCATGATTACGATGGGGGCAGACAGCGCGCACATAGACTACGAGGCCGCCTGGAGGGCGCGGCTGACAAAGCTGACGGGGCAGCCCGCGGCCAGGAGCGGCAAGCGGCCGGGCGCAGGTGCGCGGGCGCGGGCGCGGTGGAGATCCTGTTTCGACGTGGGGCCGACTCCCCGCGCGGCGGAGCGGCCGCGGCGGCTCGTGCCGCGAGCTGCATTTCAGCAGTCGGTCTCGAGTCGCCGAGAGCGTGCGCGCGCGCCGTCCGTCCTCGCCTTTGCCGTCAACCCTGCAGGCTGGTCGCGCATGGTGACCGCGGAGGCGTTTGTGGTGCGGATCCGCCACGCGGCGCGGCCGGACGAGGAGGGGCTTATCCGGCCGCTGCTGATGCGGTGGCAGGCGGGGGGCTGCCACTACTCGGTGTTCGGCCTGCCGGCGGTGCACGCGGTGCTGCAGTTCAAATGGGACACGTGAGCGCGGCGCCCTGTGTGCGCGTGCACGTGCATCGACACCCTCCGTCGGCTTGGCGCGTTGCTCGCTCGGCGCGGCGAATCGGGGTGGGGTTGCAACTCGACCCTGCAGACGGCGGGATGATCAGGGACGCCGTTGGGCCTGGCGCAGTCACAGTCTGTCACGACCTTGGAGGCGTGCATCATATCGGAGGCCATCACAGCCATTGGGGCCCTACAGGACGCATGCTTGCTCCAGGAGGCCCCCCTTCGACGGGCGCTCTCAGCAAGCCTACGGCTCTTGAAGGGGCCTGACCGTCCCCTCCCCGGCTCTCGGTCCCTGTCCTCATTTCCCGCAGCTTCTGCGGCCGCGCCCTGATGGCCGAGCTGGTGTTCTTCCTGACGTGGCTCGTCAGCTTCTCGGTCTTCATGCTGCTCTGGCAGGTGGGATGACGGCGTTGGGGGTGGGGGCCTGCGTCAGCGCTGGCCGGTGGTGGCACGAGGCTGGCATGCGCGGGGGTGACAATCACCGTGACTAGGGCCTAGTCACTGGGGTCGGGCCTCCTGGTGGCTTGAGAGTCTAGAGAGTTTCATCGGCGCTCGAGCGTCACCCGGGCTGTGGCCGTTGGCTGTCACCTGCCGCCGCCCCTCTGCTCACCGGACGCCCCGCGTGCCGGCATCCCTGCGCCGCCCTGACTCCTGTCACGCCTGTGCTTCTTGCCTACATCCCCACCTCCCCCACTCCCCCTGTCTCAACCCCCCAACCAACCCCTTACCGCCCACCTCCACGCCACGCAACCCAGTCCCAGATCTTCTCTCAACCAACCCCGTACCTCCACCCCCCTCTCCACACTCTCCAGCTCCGCGCCTGCGCGCGAAACCCCACTCCCACACTCACACTGTCAAAGCCCCGCCCTGGCCCTTGTTCCCGCACACCCGACGCCCCGCACCCGTCCAGGATGAGGACATGACCCTGAGCCTGCCCCAGCTTTGGAACACGCCCACCGGCAAGGTGAATTGCGGCGGGGCAGCGCCAGCACGGCTGGCAGCGCATCCCCGGGCATCTGCCGCGAGGGCCACGGCTGCAGCAGCTCGCTGCGCTCACATCGCCGCCGCCCTTGTGCCGGCGCTTGCCCGTGACGAGCCCCACGCTCCACGCTCCACGCCGCCGTGCGGCCGGTTCCTGCAGCCGCCTGCGTGCGCCGGCCCCTGATCAGCCCACGCACCCGCGCACTAGCAACGCGCCCCGACCAGGCCACATTTCCTGTCCTGAATTGCATCGCAACTGGCTTCGCTCTCGCCCACCAAGCCGGACGCCCATGCCACGTGTCCCCGCCCAGCCCCTCAAAATCCCCTCCCCCACCCTTTTCCCCTCCATATCGTTTTCATCGCTCCCCCCCCCCACACACACACACACAAACACAAAATCCCCGACAAAGGTGACCATTGTGTCAGAGCTGGTGGCACTGGTGGCCATGACCCCATTCCTGATAGTGGAGTGGTCAACACTCAGCGCATACCTGCGTGAGCGATTTGGGGGTGTCTGCGGCTTGGGACAGGGAGGGGGTGCCAAATCAGGTTCTGTTTTTGAGAGCAGCCGTTGCGGAGCCATCATGCCGAGTCACGATCCCCTGGACACGGCGCCGCGCACGCGCCTGGGCGGGTGCACACACGGGCAGCGGTGGCCCCCTGCCGACGCCACGCCACTCCTGGCGGGCGCGAGTGCTTCCCTCGTGTCTTTTGCGCGCCGCCCAACGACCATTTTCGGCCTCTGCCGGTCTCAATGTGCACTCGCTGCATCCCGGCGCTGCAGTGGGGTGGTTCAACGTTTGGAACACGGTGGACCTACTCACGTACGGCATGCAGGTGCTCATGTGTTTGTGGACGTGTTTGTGTGCGTGCGTGTGAAGCTGCACAGTCCCTCTCTCTGTGTGTGTGTGTGTGTGTGTGTGTGTGTGTGTGTGTGTGTGTGTGTGCATGCGCGTCGCGTGTGTGCGTTTTCGTTTCTGTGTGTGTGTGCGTGCGCGCGCGCGCGTGTGTGTGTGTGTGTGTGTGTGTGTGTGTGTGGTGCACACACACGTTTGTGTGCATGTGTGCCCGCGGCCACCTCCACCGACCGCGCGCGCCCCACCGTCCCCACCCGGCCCCCAGATCACAATCTCCGTGCTGCACCTGGGGCGCGCCTCCCCCGACTGGTTCAACGAGCTTGTGGCGCTGCAGTGCGTTCTGCTGTTCTTCCGCCTCAACTACTTCAGCAGGCTGTTCGCCAACAAGTTCTCATTCCTGGACTCGCTGAAGCAGGTGGGGGCCACGGCTGTTGCGTGCGTGTGCATGTGTGTGCGTGCGTGGTATTGCATTTGTGTGTGTGTGTGTTTGTGTGTGTTAGTGCGTGTGGGCGTGTGCGAGTGTGTGTGTGTGTGTGTGCGCGCGCGAGAGAGAGAGAGAGAGAGAGAGAGAGTGTGTGTGTGTGTGTGTGTGTGTGTGTGTGTGTGTGTGTGTGTGTGTGTGTGCGTGCTAATCCTCCCCACCCCCACCCATCCCCACCCCCAC